TATTTACGTCGACATGTTCGACATGTTGTTAACTTTTAATTCTTTTCGATTTCAATTAGATAAATAACTTAAAAATAATAAAAAGAAAGAATACGGTAAATTGATCTAAGGACACAATCGTTCTCGCCGAAGCCGATTAGAGAGTACTTTAAAATAAAGGTGAAAGCTGTTGACCGGCGATTTCAGTTTTTGGCATTCCTTTTCTTATATTTTTAAGTTATTTTTACAGATGAAGAAAAAAGTAAGAAAAAACTGGCTATGGATTGAGTTTTTTGAATAGATCTTTGACAAATAGTTTTCGATCATTACGTAATTTTTACCAAATTAAAGGCCTGGCTTAAAGCTTTTCAACAATGCGACAATCGAATCTCCTTATAACTAGACATTGAAAATTTCTGCAAAAAAAATAAAATTACAACCTTACGACTCATTGTTTTTCGTCCTTGGAAAATAAAAATGGAGCACATGCGAGCAATTTATTTTTCGTTTGATTGCTCAACGATAGATTTAGTCATGATACAAAAAAGAAGGTAGTTCCAGTTAATGACATTCGTTGTTGTTGTTAGCCATTCAACTTTTAATAAAATTATGACATTTCATCAAATTCATGCAACCTGATCACTAGAAGAAATATTTTTTTTTTAAGCAGAAGATTTTATCAGTACATTCAAAGGTGTGGAATATGATGGACTTGAAAATTATGCCGGGTACATAATATCGAAAATGGGGTTTCAGAACGCATGAAGAAAGTGATAAAAATTATACCACATGTGTTAATTGTTTATTGGAGGGCGGTCTGTTCAAGCCGACTTCAGGTTTTTTGCATACATAAGGAATTTTAAATTCAAAATTTGTGAAAGTTAATGGTGATACGCTAATCACAAGCCTAATTTTTTGCAAAATCTGATGAGAAATTTTAAAGTAAATTCGAACCAAACTATAAAAAGGTTTTATTTGAAAAGAACATTTTTAGAATTAGATTCTTAAATCGCAAGATTGCATTCAAAATAATAAAACGAAAAAATAACTGCATATTGCGCGAGTGATTTTTATTATTAAATAAAAAGAACAATTACGATTAATTTTAAATTTTATATATTTGAAATAAAAATAGTGCGAGCTACGTAAGTAAAAAAAATACCAAGCACTGATAATGGTTTTTGATTTGAAATATTATTAGATATTATTAGTATGAATATGGGAAAGAAAATACTCCGATTTATTGTTTTAATATTATCAAAGTGGCAAGGCCGTTGATAATACTCACAATTTATGAAAATACAAAAAAAAATCATTATCCCTCAAAAATTGTTTATTGAAACTACCTACTTTTTTGTATCATGGATTTAGTAACATACATTTCAAGGAACCAAACACTTACAAACCTTAACAGGCAAAAAATACCAATATTTAAAATTGTTATTTACAAAAAACAAATCAAAATGCAGCGATTATAAGTTTTCTAAAATAAGGTCATATTAAAAGCAATTCATTTACATATATTTAGTTTTGAATGATAGAAACGACCTTCTTCTTCCACGTTCAAAAGGTATTTCGTTGAAATAGGTATTCACTAAAGTACAATTACCGAAGAAACAAGTAGAACGACTGAAAGCTTGGAGAACAAAAAACAACGATCACCACATTGACAGTTTTCATGTTGACGTGTGTCAAAGGGACAGCAGCGGGGACAGTTTACATCCTTTCAATAGGTCGGTTATTTAGCTTTAGGAATAGTATGTTTATGGACTTTTGCCAAAATTGGTAAATCTGACATTCGACCTGGTTTTCTGTACAAATATTCCTATGTGCGTCGTTGACTCCGAACAGCGACTGTATTTTTATGAGAAGCGGTTTTTCATGACAGGAATACACTCCGTGTCCGAAATGAAAACGAATGCCTCTTATGTGTACGTACACAGGTGAAACTTAATTAAAGCTTGAGAGAAATGAATTGGGTGGTTATCGGCTTATCTGGTAAATAAATAATAATCTATTTCCGCTTACAAAATATGTTAGAGTTTGGCCGAGCTTCTCCCCCGATATCGATAACCTCAAGAGCTTATCTGGTTATTTTATTCAATTTACAACCAAAATAATATTCTATAAGCAGGCAACCTGATGACCATGTCGGCGTCTTTTTATTTTTTAACCTCACGCCTTCAACGGATATACCGTTTATAATAGTTCACGACCCGCTAAATTTCATACTCACAATATCACAAATAAGCACCTTTCATACCTACACGTATTTTCATTTTATACTTTCTTTCCCTCCTTCTTCATCTAATTTGTAGCAAGTTCTTTTATTATGTCACCAAATAAATTATTCAAATGATGATGAGTTGATTATGTTGATGACAACATCACAGTAATGCACTGCCGCTGTTAACATTTCACTGCAATGGCATCATCAGTGTTGTTTGCTTGTTTGTTATTTGTTGTTGGCTGATGACAGCTTCAATATGAACAAACTCATTGCCACTACCGAGCTCAACCACGCTTGGCATTTGTCGAGCATAAGCCGTCTTTCATACGCCACACTGAGCTCATCCGTTTAGTTATCGTTGCCGTAATGGCTATTGTTGGTGCTTCTGTTGCTGCTGCTGTTGCTGCTATGACAATGATTGTTGTCATTTCAAGTATTGTCGCTAAATCCTGTTGTCCGGCGCCATCTGTCGTGAAATGTTTTAAACTTAATTTCCGTGCCATTATCGCACATTTTTTGTTTCTTTTGTTGTCGATAACGTTCTTACTTGCATTCACGCTTTGTTGCTGATAAATCTTGTTGTTGATGTGCGCTATTTACTGCATATTTTATGCAGCATGTTGTTGCAATTACTGTTCATAGCGTTTTGTTGTCGTTGTGATGTTGCTGCACTGTTACTCTCACTACTGCTCCGTTTTACACACTTCAGTCGTTCGAGTACAGGACTCTGACCGGACTATTCGCTTTAAATGAAATTAACAATTAGCGTCAATTCATGGTGTCAAAATTTCTGACAGCTACCAACTACGCATTTTCATCAACACATAGTTTTAAACTGAAACAGTTTTTAAAATGGCTTAGATGCCCTAGTACGCTATGTAATAGAATTACATACGTTGATGAGAATCCAATATGGACGACAAAAATAAAAACTTAATTTTCCTAAAATATAATCAAACACTTTTACGGAATGTTTGTACATTTTTCACTTTTGAATAATTCCTGCGTTTAATCACTTCTTATAAATAAGTTCAATAATGCAAAAAAATACTCGTGTATCTCAATTTTCATGCGTTGAGGCGTCCTTAAAAGTATTCGAAAAAAAAAATTCTGCGAAATGAAGACGGGCGACGGAAAACGCCGAATATCTAGGATGATTAGTATGAGCTTTTCAACGGTAATTAGGGCTAAAACTACGGCAACTAGGGCTAACCTTACGACAATGACGAGAAAACACGTGGCAGAAAATAAAATTCCGGTGCACCTTTTCTTATACATACATATATCGTTTTTTTTTTTATTATAATTGGGTAGGTTCAGAGGCGCAGAAGTTGAGCGCAACCGTTGCTAAAAAAAATCAGTGATCATAATGCGCCTTCTGAACGGCTTGATACATTAGCTGCCAAATTCAAAACACACAACATGTTGTCTCAAATGATCATAAAAATATTACGATCAGCTAACACGCAACTGTTCAGTTGATCAGAAGTGCAACGCGTTCAGAAGGTGCAATCGCAACAGTTACTGAGCTGTTGCGCCTTCTGAACATGCCCAACATTTAACAAATCTATAACCAGTGTTACCGCAATCAACAGTACAATTTTATTTTTAATATTTTTATTGAGCTTTGTACCTCGATTGTTTATTAGGAAAAATTTAAAAAGTAACAAAGTCTAAGCGGTAGAAGTTATAGCAGCTATTTCGTAGATCACCACATCTCTTCATCAGACTATGCGCAGTTTTGCAAGAATCACGCCGAATTGCAAAAACCGTTCGGAGGTGGAGTAAAACTGTAGGTTCCTCCATTTGGGTTATAATATTAGAACGCACACCACAAATTAGGAATAAAGTCGGCCAGACGGTTAGAAAAACTGTAACGACCGAATAATAATATTATTAAAAAAGGAAAAATATGGAAATCTCCTTAGCTCTTGGCCTACAACCAATGGAACACCAGCAGTCCTGTACTTAAGTACATTGAGAGTCACATAATTGTTTGACAACAGATTTTAAATTCCCATATTGGTTAATAATAGAACACTGATAACACAGTGCGACAGCCATTTTACACTTTTGAAGCGACCTAGCAGAGATTGTTCATCTGGTCGAGTTATACACGAAACGGCCATTAAAAAGTTTCTAACACCCCCAAAATCTGGATTTAAGGCCAAAAAACCGTTTTTTCAGTTTCTTCTTAAAAAAAAATTCATTAAAAAACCAATTTTCAACCGATTTCAAAATTCTCAACGGTTTTGGGTAGAGAATTGTTGACACTTTCGAAATATATATAGTGTTTTATTCATTTGAAAAAAGTATGATATGTTTTTTAAGCCAGAAGTTGAAATTTTTGGAAATTTCATCCGGTTTTCCGGTTTCGACGTCATTTTTTTGCCACTAATTGACAATGAATGAACCTCTTTGGGCATGTGTCATCGAGAGGCATTCATTACTTAATTATACCACTTTTTTATTTTTGGAAAGGACTTAAAGTTTTCAAGTTATGCAGCATAATCCAAAATTTCATGTTTTGGTCTCAAACGTCCTATAGGGGTACTGTGCGTAAGTTAAGAAATTGGTTAAGTTTAAGGACATTGATGGTTTTTTAAGTAACAAATAGTCATTTTTAGCGATAGTTAGATTAAAAACATATATATCAGTGGTCGCAAACAATAATGACCTAAGTCGAGATATGTCGGTTTGTCCAATTAATCTTCGTTTAACAGAGCAATAATGCACTTTTATTTTTAATGTTTATCATATACTTGATATAGAATGAGGGTTTGGTAAATATATACTACTAATTCGAGACTTTGGGCGTTTTCTGCAACCTTTTTTATGGCATTATTTCTGACTTTGAACTGAGAAACGATACCGATATGAATACAATTTTTTCCTGTAAAGCTGATGAAATCGGCCACCTAGTTCGTAGCTAGACTGACCAAGATTATCCAAATGAGAATGCCAAAAATGGATCTTGATGGACATTTTGCATACAATTTCTAAATTAGTTTCCGAGAATTCTTGAACCACTTCCTTGTATATTGAACTTTCTTCATTTACAAGATAGCTATTACCCATAGAGATGAAACTCAGCTGTATTTTCTACTTGTTTCATCAATCGTCAGATTGCGAATCTGGTCATTAATGCAGTCACTAAAACGTCATATTCTTAATAAACTTCGCGTAATTAATTACACGGGATCATTCGCTCCAAAAAAATTGAAATGTGTGATAAACGCAACCGGTTTTGTTACGTGTGTGGCTTGTTTGTTGACAAGCCACATCGCTCGGAGTTTAAAAAGAATCAAGCAGTGGTTCACTCCTTCAACGACTTGTTTAAACTCTCATACGTTGAAAGTGCTTGGTATGAACCCGAAAGTGTTTGCTCGACGTGCTCTGCAGTACTGAAGAAAGTGAAATCCGGTAAGTGTTATAACCAGCATTTGTTATTTGAGACTCCCATGACTTGGCATTATCAACCGTATCACAAGTCGAAAGATTGCTACTTCTGCCAAACAGATACCGTTGGCCATCACTACAAAACTCGCAATCTCATAAAATATGCTAATGTGTTGACTGTATCGAGACCAACCCCGAAAGAAAACACAGGGGAGCCAACTGCAAACGGACAAGCAGACCCTTGCAGCGAGTTCCCGATTGAAAAAAATGAGGACTCGTCGTATGTTCCAAATCGGGCAGTAGTAAAGGAACGACATTTTATATCTAGCCAAGATTATAGTGATCTTAGTCGAGATTTGAATCTGTCTTATAGAGAAACAGAGATCCTGGGTTCACGAATAAAGCAGTGGAATGTAGTGGATGATGACTTTAAAGTGACATTCACACGAAACTTAGACTTATCGTCATTCGAAGAAGTTTTTAAGGCTGATGATATAGACAATAAACTTGTATATTGTGTTGATGTGGATGGATTGTTTGCTGCCTTCGATCACGTGTACTGCGCAAAAGATTGGCGATTATTTCTGGACGGTTCTTGCAAAAGTAAGTATTTTATTTATCATAAGTGTGAGAAAACCAAAATTAAGCAATATTAAAAAATTTACGTTTAATTCACGAAATTCGTAGGTCTGAAAGTAGTATTAATTCACAACGAGAATCAGTTGCCAACAGTTCCAATAGCATACGCTACTGATATGAAAGAGACGTATCAAACGATGGAAAAGATTTTACGATTAATCAATTACAATAAACATCAATGGCAAATTGTCTCAGACCTCAAAGTTCTGACAATACTTCTGGGAATGCAAGGAGGCTACACTAAGCATCCGTGCTATTTCTGCGAATGGGACAGTCGTGCCAAGGATCCTTACAAGTGTAGCGTGTGGCCTCCGAGAAAGGGGTTTCAAATTGGAATTAAAAATGTTCTCAATATCCCATTAGTAAAACCTGATAACATTATCTTGCCGCCATTGCACCTAAAGTTGGGCTACATGAAACAATTTGTAAAACGACTCGACAAAAACAGCGAGTCATTTCTGCACCTGGAAACAGTTTTTCCCAAACTAAGTGATGCTAAAATAAAAGAAGGTACCTACTTTCGAAGAATTTGCCGACTATTAATTTTTTCGAAAACGCATCTGCAACCATTTTAATTCTTTACTTTACAGGCATTTTCATCGGACCCCAGATTCGCAAGCTGATGATTGATGAGAATTTTGTCGAAAAACTGAACGAAGTAGAAAAGAGAGCATGGCTGAGTTTTATCTCTTTATGTCATAACTATCTTGGAAATGAAAGAAGTTCTAATTATAAGGAAGTGGTTCAAGAGTTTTTGGAAGCTTATGGAGAAATGGGATGCAAAATGTCAATCAAGATACATTTTTTGCACTCTCACTTGGATTTCTTCCCGGATAATCTGGGTCAGTTTAGCGACGAGCAAGGTGAACGATTTCACCAGGAAATCTCGGCAATAGAAAAGCGCTTTGCTGGAAAAAACCACGTTAAGATGATCGCTAATTACTGCTGGTCGCTCAAACGTGAAACCGACGACCTGTATTATAAGCGCAAAAGATCCAGGAAACATTTTTAATTCGAATTGGTTGAGGTATGTAGTTAGCGAGCATCTTAAAGTGGTTTTTTTTTTGTATCTTGATTGACATTTTGCATCCCATTTCTACATAAGCTTCCAAAAGTAATTAGCTAACATCTTAACCATTGTTAAACATTTCCCATTGTTTTGTATAAAGTGTTCTAATGAGTGCAAAATTTTATGAAAAATATATATGTTATCAATCTAACTATCGCTAAAAACGACTGTTTGCTATCTAAAGGTTCACTTGCGCAGCCAAATTTATATTTTTGACTTAGAGTTAACATTAAATGAAGGCTGAAACTCGTACGGTTTAGACAACTTTTCAAATTAACATTGAGTTAAAAAGATAACTGGCTGTCGTGCAATGATTTTTTCATGTAAAATGCTAAAAATGGGGGTTTTTGTGAAATTTTTGTATGGGGAACCCCACAGGTGGGGTCTTAGGGGGGGTTCCACTGGCATGGGTGGGTCGGCCCTACAAAGTTAGTGGGGGTCGGTCATACATTTAAATACGATTGGGGCACTCTAAATGGGTCAACTTAGGATTTTTCAAGCTTTGGCGCTCAAGGTCAAAAGTACGAAGTCGGGACATCAGAATTGGTTTTAGAGGTATGCTTCCTTCGGCAAAGTATCTTATTTTGATCCCTAAAATACGATTTTCCTTGTCACTTGGGTGATTTTCAAATCGACCCGCCTTCTAATACATAGTACCCCTGTAGGGCGCTTGAGACCAAAAAATTTGATTTTGGATTATGCTGCATATCTTGAAAACTTGAAGTCCTTTCCCAAAAAAAAACACTTGTGTAATTAAGTAGTGAATGCCTCTCGATGACACATGCCCAAAGAAGTTCATTCATTGTCAATTAGTGGCAAAAAAATTACGTCGAAACCGGAAAAACCGAAAAAGTTTTCAAAAAATTCAACTTCTCGCGTGAAAAACATCTCATACCCCTCTCAAATGAACAAAACACTGTATATATTTCGAAAGTGTCAACAATTCTCTGCCCAAAACCATTGAGAATTTAAAAAACGGTTGAAAATAAGATTTTTAATGATTTTTTTTTCAACGAAAACTCTGAAAAAACGGTTTTTTGGCCTTAAATCCAGATTTTGGGGGTGTTACAAATCCTTTGAAGGGTGTTTCGTGGATAACTCGACCAGATGAACAATCTCTACTAGGTCGCTTCAAAAGTGTATTCAATTTTGTTTTTTTGTAGCACTGTGTAATTAAATACATCGTCGTTTAAAGTGCAAAACCGCGTATCAACAAAATGCAAAACCGCGTATGTGAAGTTGTAGAAATAATTTTTCTAATATCTCAAAATGGTTCTCTTTTTTATAAAGCAATCACATATCTGCCTAGTATATTTCAGGACTAATGGATAAGGATTGAGCCAAGAGCTTGTCTGAGCAAATCCAATTTTTGGCAGCCAATGTCAGTTACGCGGTTTTGCAGAATCACGATATGCGGTTTTGTACTTTAAACGACGACATATATATGTATCAAATCAAATTATGCCTTCCTTTGGTATGTATGAACATAAGTTTACTTTAATTGAAGCAGAGAGAGTGCTGTGTTATGCAGAAGAAGGTTATTGTTGGCCGAATTATCTTCTATAATTGAAGAAGCACCTTGTACTCGTATAAGAAATTACAGGGAGGTATTAATGAATAGTGAATAACTGTATTTATAATTTAATATTGTTGAACTTCTTACTAAATATTATAAGATTTCGAACTTGTCATAGTAATTTTAGGATATGAAAGTTCTATTCATTAGTTTATTTCTACGAATTTTGACTTTGAGAAGAAGGAGGAATTCATGAAACAATAGCCAATTTAATTAAAATTTACAAGCTCCTTCGTGCACCCTCTTGCTTACTAGCCAAAGAAATATCATGAAAATTAATCTACTTATAGCTATGCATATTATTCTACCCTTTCAACACATTCTCCTCTATGCCTTTCGGCCAAAAATGAAGACACCAGATGCATCCATTTCGAGTCATTTGGGATAGACAAACGGTGATGACTACTGACACTTCCGCTCTTACGTCTAAAAGAGTAGTTATACCCTAGATGATGACTTGTTCATATCACCAACATGCACACCTACGTAAGCACACATTTACAAGCACTTCCATATGCAATGCATATCCGCATATCTACCAAGCATTTATGTACATTAAGGCGTATCACGAAAAAAAGTTTAGCGTGTGTCAGTTTTATTTGAATACTAATGTCGAAAAAAAAATGTTGGGTGTTGACATTTTTTTATGCACCCACTAAAATCGGTATATCGCATTTTTTGCTATAACTATCTTATTTGCTCTACGATTTTTCAAATGTTTTATGTTACCGAAAAGGCCTCGCTCTGGACTGTATTTTAATAAAGCCTAAACCTTTTTAGCAAGGTCGTCATCGTTTTTTGAATAATAATCTAGGGATAGTAATTCCAAATTTAAGGTATAAATTAAAACGGGTTTGAAGACCCAATTATAGTCCTGAGCGAGACTTTTTCAGCAACATAAAGATTTTAAAAATCGGATATAAAATAAGAAAGTTATAGCAAAAAACGCGATTTGGCGGTTTTTAGCGGATACCCAAAAACATTTTTTTACACCCAAAATTTTCTCTCGACATAAGTGTTTAAATAAAACCGATTACGCTAAACTTTTTATACCCGAGCGCACATGTGCACAAGGGTATTATAACTTTGTTCGCATACCGGTTGTTTGTAACAGGCAAAAAGAATCGAGATACATATAGACAAATGTATACATAAATGATCAGAATGAAAAGAGAAATCGATTAAGCGGTGACTGTCTGTCCGTCCGCGATCTGCGCCAACGATAACTCGAGTAAAAATTGAGATATCTTAACGAAACTTGGTAAGTTTAGGTACTTCTTTCGGGCGTAGGACGGGCGGTGTTGAAAATGGGCAAAATCTGACAATAACCACGCCTACATCTCATATAATGGTAGTTTTCAGATTCAGAAATACGAAAACTGCGGTATTTTAGTAACTGCTGAACCTTATTCACTAAAAATTGATATTTACAATACAAAATTTTTAAAATCGGACAATAACCACGCCCACATCCCATATAACGGTAATTTAGAGAAATACGAATTACTCGATAAATCAGTAAATATTAAAGCTAATTTATTCAAAAGTGATGCTTGCAACAATTATTTATCAAGAAATAAATTTATGGTAGAATTTTGGTAACCGTTCATCCAATGTGTACCAAACTCGGCATGATTATTTCGCTTGCCACATAAAAGAAATTTATCGAAATCGGACCAAATTATCGAAATCGGACCAAAATTACGGCCACTTTTCATATAACGGTAAATTTCATAAATGCTTGAAACTTCGATATTTCGAAATTTATAGACGCTAATTTACTCAAAATTGATACTAACAACAATCCCTTGGAAAGAAGTAACATTATTTGGAATTTCGGAAAATGGGCGTGATACCGCCCACATATGACTATATAGGTTATCTCATGACTTTACTGAACGTTCTATCGAAGATGTTTGAAATAGAGGTAAAACCACCCCTGCTTACCATGTAGCGTTAGTTTTCGGAAAGGTAAAAAACTCTATTTAATACTTGCGCCGAGTATTTAATGTTCGGCTCCGCCCAAACTTACACTTTCTTACTTGTTTTATTTCATACTATGTCGTGATACGGCTTAATGTACATACATACATATATACATACATTGCAGTTGAGCTGTGCAGCTACATAGAGCGTTTCTTGCATGCATTATGTGGCATATGTGTATGTCTAACTAATGTGCTCGAGCATTTGCTTAAACCCAAAGTGAATGGGAAATGACGACGAAATCAATTTTTATTGTTATCGCATAATTGGATATTATTGATTCAATTTACATTGCACAATGTATTAAGTTCTAAAATACTACAGCCACTTGCGGTGGAAATTGTACTGGAAATTGACTTTCTTAGCTGAATGCAAGATGAGCCCAAACTAGAGATTGATAGTCGTACATATGTATGTATGTAGATATATGCATAACGGATTATGACTTAGTTTGCATTTGGAAGAGCAGCCGAAAGTTTGTAAGCATACTCAACATTCGAAGAATGAATTGAATGAATAAGGCGCATTGTCGTCACTTGCAGGTGTTTGTTAACGGACAGACAAAGGTACATACATATACATAAAATTTTATATATCGTCACCTGAAATGCAAAAAGACGTAACAACATCGACCCTGAAATGGAAAAAGTCGAGACTAATATTTTTTTTCATAAAACGATATGGGGAGTTGTAATTCGATGAAATCCATCATATCTATCAAAAAGTGAATTTTGAATTTTTTATAAGTTACGACTTTTTGCATTTCAGGTGACGATATTTAAATATGTGCTAGAAACTAAATAAATTTACTTGCATTACTATGCTTCTAATTGTAACAGCGCATGCCTCTAATATAGGGCTGCCAGACGTCCTGATTTTCCAGCATTTGTCCTGATTTAAACAAATTGTCCTGGTGTCCTAGTTCAACTTAAATTGTCCTGGTTTTTTAATGAAGGTCAATGCCGACACCCATCTAATTTTTCCTTTGAAAAAATTTTAAGCTTTCTGTTATTAGTAAATAGTCGAAAATCGATAATAAAACATTTTTTCTAACATGTTGAAAAATATCTGGTGAGTTTACTTTCTTTCTGTTTAGCTTATTTGGATAAAATCTAATTTTTTATCTTGAGGCAAATGCCAAAAAAGTGCAAGTTCCTGAGTAGGTACACGGCTGAGGGGTCACACATACTACGCAGTAGATAATTTCGGGAGTTCAAATTTCTTCCAAAAGGCCTTCTGAAAGTCATTCCTTTCCCCTCTCTTTTTTACGGAGTGGCACAAATTGAAGGGCTTCTGCTTTAGCTACTCAAACAAGAGCTTCCAGAAAAGCTTTTGTAGGACGTACTTCTGAAGGCCTTTTTAGTTCATAAAAATCATATTTCTTTAAAGAAATTAAATATTTAATGTTCAGATCAAATATATTTTATTGAGACTTAACATGCTTACTGAATCCTATTTGTAATGCTAAATAGTATAAACATATACTTAAGTACATTCGGGTAAATTGAAAATGGGACACCCCTTTCTAGGGAAGCCCTTTTTTCAGTCCTTATTGGGTAAGTCTTTTAGAGTGGCTGCACTTCAGACAGCCTACCTAAATTATCTTTAGGTTATGCAAGTCCCGTATTTGTCCCTATGAACTATTAGTTCCCTGCAGGGAAACCGCGGACTAGTGAATCAAAATTCTGGTTCCGTACTAGGTCTCTATCGCCAAAATGGAACTAGTCCGATAGGAGCTAGATCTCCACCAGTCCAAAATCGGCGAAAAGTGGTACTTAAAAAAAAAAACTTTTTTTCAGTTTTTTTCACTAGAAATCTATATCTAAAGTGACGAATTTAGAACTGGTTCGGAACTATAGAAAAAGGGATGCAGAACGATCTAGATCTTATTTGTTGAATTTAGAACAAGTTCGGAACTATCGAATAAGGGATGCAGCGGGGGGCTTGTTTACTTTACATAGATATGTATTCGGCGGCTTTTTCGTTCAAATACGCTTCTATTTTGTGCTTCGCAGATGCCTTTTCAAAGCTTGGTAATACAAAACCAAAATTTGTGTTAACTTTTCAACGTCATGGCACCGTCTGGAATCTAACAGCGAGCACCTCTGCAAACTCAGCTACAGCTAAAGGTATGTAAACGTACATTTCTTACAATCATTAAACAAATTTAATTTCAAATTGAAAACACATTTCTTCCAAAATAACATCTAAACCGCACACACGGAAGAACCAAAAAGATTGAAATATCATAATAATT